ATTAACCTGACTTTGCAGAGATAACACATAATTCCCTATAAAAAGCAGGTAACATTAGGTATGAATCTGAACCTACCATCATGTCCTGAGCAAGCAGGTTTAAATGATGGCAAGGAAAATAGTCACATTCTCTAGTTCTTTGCAATGAAAAATGGAAGTGTCGTTTTTACAAATCTTTGTCTCCATCACAGGGCTCTGCAATTTTAACTCATTATTAGATTTGTTCACAGCTGTCACATCAGCTCGGAATCCTAGTGGGATTTTATTTTCATTCAGAAATGTGTAAAATATTCTGATATTCATACATATATAGGAGTTATAGCTGGAAGAAAAAATATTATATCTTCTTTGCTGACAGCCTAAATTTAAGAAGCCATGGGGCTGAATTGAGCCCTGGAGGCAGTGAATCCATCTTCCCTGGCATAAATGAAGTTATGCCTGTGTTATGCATGCCCCATTGTGTCAGCTAGTTACAAGACTGAATGATTACCCTCCACAGACCCTGAATTTACCTGCAGGGATTTCAGACCTTTCCTGGAAGGAGCTTTCTGAAGTCCTGTTGTTGCAGTCCAGTGCCTGGATATTAGACAGCTCATTCTTCATCAGGTCTGCAAATAATTTTCTTCTTGCAAATACAGAACTCCAGAGTTTTACAGCATCAGAATTTGCTCTGGTGACTCTGTAAAATCACTATCTTGCTCAGTGCTGGACACTTACCTATTTCTCCAGCTTGCAATTTAGTTCAGCAGGATGCTTAGCATGCTTTGGTATCCCTTTCTCAACAACAAAGGTAAAGAGGATAGAGTGCTCCATATCATTTATGCAAGATTTCTTCAGATAATCAATAGTCTGCTATAAAAGAGTATCTTGTTCCTTTCTCTATGGTCTGAAATTGTTGTTGCTATGTAGTGCCTCCAAGCAGACAGGATATTTGGGGCTGGTCAAAATTACAGTATTATTTGACCATTTATACCCATTGATCTTCTCACTGAAAACAAGGAAAAATAGATTTATTCAGTTAGTAGAACAATCAGATGCTTGTCATGTGAATTGTACCTTTTTGCAACCATCAGATGACCAGTCGTCCAGACTCAGAGTACTCTGTTGATAATACAGAACAGCCACAAAGAGCCCAAAATTAATATATCTGGTTTTGGAAGACAAATTTGAAGTGGACACTAGAAATAGCAGATGAAATAGTGAGCAGTTTGAAGTTACTTAAAATGTATGAGTTATTAGATTACTGTGCAAGGGATATGATAAACTTCCAATAACCTTCATAAGACATGGTAAATCTGAAACCGATTGTAGTTGAGATGATTCTTGAACATCAGTTATTGCTTCCCAGCACAGTGGCTGACACGTTCCAATACTGTCTTTCAAGAGGCTAAGCTTCCTTTAGAATTTTAGGGATGGATGTTTTATGGTTCATTTTGGAGGATTTCTCCCCTCAGTGTCTGGAAATTCCTCCACAAGACCAGGGGCAGCTGGGGGGACCTGGGCATTGAAAGTACTTACAAGTGCAGAGCACTGCAGGTTTCAAGCTGCAGTGGGAGGTTCCACTGGCCAGCCTTGCAAGCTGTGCCATCTGTCAGTACCACCCAGCATGGTGGCTGACGTAACACAGCCACAGGCATGTCTCCTGGTGCTGAAATGAGACCTTGGAGTTCTTACAATGAAAAATGAAAGATGTTTAAAGTTGCCAGAGATACGTGTTTGAATGCCAGATCAGGTGTCAGTTACCATCTTCAGGGAGAAGGCACACTTCCAGAAAAAATCCTCCTTTCACCCTTTCTGCCAAGAATTACCACAGGAAGGATTTGCCTGCTTCGTCTGTGTTTACTTTGTGCAGGAATTGTATTGATAGGGAGCAAGTGAATGTTCTCCTGGAGCAACAGCAGAAGCTGGTGGAAGCCCCTCTATGGAGTAGCCTGTTACAGCGGGTGCACCCATGGGCTGGGTTGCCCAGGCATGCCCAGGAAAAAGTGTGTCAGTAGTGACTCTTGGTTAAACAAAACCTAAATGAGGACTTGATTTCTTTCCCTTGCCATTCATTTGCAGTCTGTTTTTGCACAAATTTAACACAGTCACTATTAAAAGTGTCACCCATGTTCATGCTGCTTGTTTGGACAGAAAAAATTTACTGGGTAGCTTAAGAAAACAGTTTTGTCACTTTTCTAGGAAATGTGGCTAACACCATCTCCATCTCAATAATCACACAATAAATGTCATTGATACTTGGATGAGTATGGGGGCATTAGGATCCTATGGGCGAAGAAACTGGATTGATGAGTGAAATTTTAAGCAATTTTCACATGCTGTTTAATTCTCTCTGATCTTGTTCTGAATCAAACAGCTGCCAGACTCTTTGCTCATATCAGTATTTAATTTGAAGCTTTAATTAATTAAGTCAAAAGATAGGCAGATACTTGGATTTCTTCCAAACACAAATAATATTTATATATTAAAGTATTTAAAAGGGGCTTTGACTTGCTTACTAGAAACTATAAGCAGGTAAAATCTATCTACCCAACCACTTCCATGCAGTGTGGAAGTTTCTTCCTTTCTTCCTCTGTCAAATCACAGAAATGATCTGTCACGTGTAGAGACAGGCTACAAAAATCCACTAAAGCAACCTCAGATGTACACAAGTCTCAAGTTCTCCCACTCCCATCTGTAATTTGGTACGTCACATTCTCTTACCAGTTTATGAGACGTTGTTGCTGCTCTCTGCTCCCACACTGTTCTAATTAACTTTGGTGTGATAAAACGATTCCCATGGGAGACTTTCCTTAATTCCAGCTGAACATCTCAGGATATCAATCTGGGCAGCAAGCCTGCATTACTCTTACAAAATTGCAAATAGTTTTTCCAAGTATTTCCTATTTATCAAGCAGTGACATGGGACCATGTTACTGACATCAGCAAGTAGCTGCAAACTTCCCAGGTGTTCCTGGGATGGGAGCCCTCATAGTGACTCACACCCTGCCAGCGGGGTCCCCACCCTGTATGGTAATCAGTAACCTGTTTATCCCGAGGAGTTGAAGAGGGAAACAGTCACACATGCATCTCTGAGTGGGCACCCTGCACCTTGCCTGCCTCTGGAGGTCAGTCTCAAGGCTTGTGAGCCCACACGAACACTGGAGCAGGGTGTCTGGTAGGATGTAAGTAACCACTAGCGCTGGTCAGCAGGAGCTGTGACTCCTCAGGTAAAATGCTTCCCAGCTACACAGACACACAGCTTGGAGCAGCTTCAGTTAAGTCCAAAGTATGTCCTTTGAGCCCAATTAAAGCTGTGCATTTTTGTCTAACTAAGCATGTGGATTTTTTTTTTCTACCTGTGTTTAGTGTGTTCATGTGTTAAAGTGTTCATGAGGCTTAGTCTAGCCTGAAGCAAAGTATGTGCTCAGTGTCACGAGCTATTAAGCAAGAAATTTCAGCGTCTGCTAAAGGGTTCCTTTCGTTTCCTTAATGGTAAGATTCAATAAACTCCGCCTAATATCTTAATTTAAGGGAAAACTGACAAACAACTAAAATATCAGAGCACAGAACATCTTCTGAAAGCGTCTGCTGTAACAAAACCATCTGGATGTTTTATTGACTGTAGCTTTATATGTGTATTTCTGATAGGCAAGGAGGCAAAACTTTAAAAATAAATTGAATTGCAGAGGGTAATATCAGAATTGGGTGTTGCAGAGGGAGTGAGACCTGCCCTCTTCCTCTTTTATAATACATAATTTGTATCCTTCTTTCAAGGAACTATAGCAGAAAGAATATATGTTAAGAAAACTAGGTTTCTTCAAACTAAATAGATATTTATTCCTAAGTTTCTATGCACTGTCACCCACAAGAGAATAGATTACAACCCTATCTCACATTTTACTTGAGAACACTATTTTCCTTCTCCGTCACTTTCTGTTATTTGGTTGTAAGCTCACACGCTTATAAATGTAGAGATTCCCCAGAGCAACAATGACAGATGCAGCGCAGTGAGAGCTCAGGGGGCAAGGAGGAGGAAGAAGGCAGGATTGGTGCATGCAGGTCAGTGAGGAGAGAAGAGGACATCCCTGGGGCAGGTAGGACAGCTCCAAGCCTGCCCCAGCCAGGGACACTGTGGGAATGGCTGACTGCCCTTTATCTCGCACGATGCTCTCAGGCATGTGGAGCTCCTTTCAGCCTAACTGTCCTCAGCCTTGTTAATTTATGTCTCTTTACAGGGGAGGTTTTCTAAGTTGGCAAATAGGTCTGTGTCCCATACTCCCTTTTAGGCATAATTAATTATTTTAATTGATTAATACTGAGCCAAGCAGTTTGCTCAGAAGGGACAGCTCTTCCGGTTTTTTGGACTAATTACCAGTCTGAATTTCTGAATGACAATCCAGTGCTAATTAATTCTCACAGAAAGAGACCCTGATAAGAACTTGCCAATTAACATAAGAGGGGGGAAAAATCAACAATCCTATTTTGTTTTTCTGGCATCCACTCCCAGTCAGATGAATATCACTATTAAATACAGAGACAGACTAAGTATGAAAGCCAGTAGGCTGTGAGGATGCTTCAAACTTGCCCAGACTTTACTAATTCAGGATCTAGATGTTAATTGTATGCCCTGTCACTCTTGTTGCATGACATGGCTTGCTACAGCTTTTGTAAGCAGGAGTGAGATAAAGCAGAGCAGCAGGGCAAATATCTACCCATCCCCATAGGGAACTTTTTGCAGTATCCCAGTGTTAATCAATACCAGTGGAAGGCTGAAGGGAGCATTTTGGGAGATAGGTTCTAGTTTTCACATGGTTTGTCAGGGCCAGATGCCCAGCTGATGATGGTCACTCCCTTATCTGCACCAGCTCTGTGAGAGCAAGGTGTGGTATGGGTACACCTTCAGACAGGTCAGCCAGAGAGCTCTCACACAGTGAGATATTCAGCAAACTCATGGAAAGTCCTGGCGTATACAGCAACAGTTGAATTTAATTTTTCTTTTTTCCTCTCTGCACTTGCAGGTCAGAAGATTCTTCACCACAGAAGTGATGTCTTAGAAACTGTAGTCCTCATCAATCCCTCAGATGAAGCAGTTAGTACTGAGGTAAGAAATACTGTGTTGAACATGTCATGAAAACTCCACAAAGTGGACATAATGAGGGCACTGAGGCAGATGTAATTGAGGTGATTATGGAGCATCAGTCACTGCCTGCCACCTTAGAGGCTGACAACCTCACATTCTATTTTTCAATATTTTAGCAGACAGTGAGAGCAGGTCCTGACTGTGAATGTTTATTTGGAATAAAAACAATGAAAAATGTCACCCATCCCTCGATCTTTTACCTTGTTTCCCAGACTCCTAACAAATTCTCAGAAGCATGGGACAGAAACATACCTCTGATCCCAGCATTTCTTTTCTCATAATGCCTCATATTATCTTCTTGATGGAGTGGAGGCAGCTATGGTTGAGATTTTTTTTACTTTGCCATTGTTTGGTAGCTCTAGATGCCTATTTTGCATATGAAGAAAGTGTCTGAAGGTGCCCAGGGACAAATTTGGGTCAGAGAACTACCAGCTCTGTGGTGGTGGCTCTAGGTTGATCTAGCTATCCTTCAAAAAGCATGTGACATGATTAGTGAACCCTAGAGAGTGCCCTTAAGAGGGCTGCCAATTCCTTATGAACTCAGCAGAGTCAAAGAACTGATTGTGTAGCTCAAAGACAAAATTGATTTATTTAGCTAGTGAGAAGGTTGAAATAATAGGGACCTAATTGCATTGCTGGTCTGTGCTGGGAAGCACTGGCACAGTCTAATTTCTTTTGGGAGATGAAGCACTTCTGCTGGTGGTCACTGGTGAAAAAACAATTTTGCTGTCAATTGCTAAATGATGTTGAACACAAACAGAAGAAAGGACTCCAAAACAAAAACGGTTTCTGAACCTTTAGAATTTTAAAAGCCACCTTAGTCAATGGGAACTTACTGAAATACAGTGCATGAAAATCTCTAACAAGCCATTAGAGGTGCTCAGTAAGGACAAGCAGTATAGCAACTCTATGCATTCATTCTGAGTAAAAAAAACATCAAGTGTGTGCATGTGTGAAGGGGTGGAAGAGACGAAAAACTGCCAAAAGCCAGGAAATGCTATTCCTTTGATGGATAGCTACATGGGAGAACATGATCAGACACCCATTAATGATTTCTGAACCCTGGGCTTACTCTGTTGGCTCTGGAAGATGTTTGGCTATGTTACTATAAATTTTATCTCACAAGATTGTGGGAGGTGATCTTTGCTTTCATCCTGCCAAACTGGTCACAGTCAGACAGATGAGATTTAACTTGGCTGGCTAAACCAGCCAAGACACAATTCAGAAAGAGACAATCAAAAAGAGGTGTCAGAATTAAATCAGAGGTTGGAGTAGACATTCTTTGTTTGCTATGGCAAATAGAAAACTTAATTTCATATATCAGAGATTTCTATGGTGGATCTAAGGGAGACAGAGATATACCATGAAGCTGTGACTTCACCAGAAGAGGAACTGGAATCTATTCACTCAGGAAAAAAACAAAACACACAAACAAAACACACAAAAGAAACAAAAGTAAGACAATAGCATAAAAAAAGAAAACCAAACCAAACAAGCCAAC